TTTATAGCGTAGCAATTAGTTAGCCGTAGCAAATTAATTTTGTATAAATAGAATAGCTTTTTGCTCATGTTGTAAAACAACTCTCTTGTAAGTTCTAAAATACTCATGAGTTTCAAGTAATAAATAAAGGAATCAATTTTAAAACAAAAATACTTTTCCATTCTACGTGTCCATCATCTAGGATTTGATCGTGAACTACTACACTAACTTGCGATTGAGTTCGTCACTTAGAATAAATAAATTCTCTAAATTTCTTAAGTCCTTAAACCCTTAAGTTCGTAAATTAAGTAAAGTAATTCCAAGGCATTTCAGATACTTGTAGAACGTAAGATTCCCTAAGGTTATAAAGTTTGACAATAAGGAAGTTACTTACTGCAGTAAAGGAACTAGATATATTATGAGAAGTAATTAGAGAAGATTATCCCGGTGATAACGCAATCTGTTACACATTTTATATCAACTATTGAAAAAGATACAGGCTTACAAAGCATCCTTCGATATGTTTGTTCTATCAATTTAACACATCCTGATCATTATTTTGCATTTGACGAGACTCTGAAACGATTTGACGTAATATTTGTTAAACAAAACATTGGTTCTGTAAAATATTCTATAGATAAGCTAAAATTACAAATCATGTCAATTCAATCAGAATGGGATCATTTGACTTTACTGATTAGTGAATATGTTAGTGACAATTTATCAACTTCATCTGATCATAATATAAAGTCTCGAAAGGATACGTTATGGAAATTAATTGCTGATTTACAATTAGCTTTTGAAAATCCTAATAGTTTAGAAACTAATGAGATTTTTAAAGAAGCTACACAAAATATGGAGCAGGGGTTTTAAAAACTTTTTAATTATTATAATATAGAAATAAATAGGTTACATAATATATATAAGCAAAATGTTGAAAAATCTATTACAAGAAATCTATGTGGAAGACATATAAAAAATGTTATTACAAATATGGTTTCCCAGCAAAAACAACAAAAACAGAAACGTTAACAGCAAAATGTTGAACCTCAACAATCAAAGCGTCAATGAAAAATAAAGACATTAGAAAATGATATACAATACAAAATAAACGAATGTCAAATACAATAATTAGATTTAAGTATGTATAAATTTATTGTTATATAACTAATTTATTTTTACTATTTAAACACAGTTTAAAAAAAATCTTAAGATCCAGTTTGTCTTTTTCATAATTACTACAAGTGGTTTTTCATATTAACATAACCAGTTAAAATATCGATATTAGTTGGATATGGTTTCTTTTAAGAATACCATTCGCATTACTAACGCTAATCTGAGTTTATTTCTGGTTTTTTCTTTGGATTAGTTTTTTTTGAATAAAGCATTAGGTGGCTTATGATTAAAAATATCCACACATTGCAAATTTAAAGCAAGCGATTCTCTAATCCAATAAATTTATGATATTAAAAATTTTACAGGTTTTGAGATTAGCATTAACTTATGAATTTAATTTTACAAATATTTTAATTATAATAAAAATTTGAAAAATTTTATTGAAATAGTTTAAAAGTTATGTTTGATTATTGGTATAATGAAATTACAATATCCTGTTGTATAAAATTCACTGTATACGTTTAATATTTTTTGTAATAAATATAGAAAACTAAAGTTATTAATTGTAAAGGATCTTTAAATTTATACTTTTTAAAAAATATACCTATTAAGCTATATAATATGAATTTTTATATAAAGAAGTAGTTAAAAAAAGAACTTTTTATTATTTATAAATAAGTTGAATGTTTTATTTTTTATTGCTAATTATTTATGCATAACTAACAAAATATTATGAATAATTACAGTACATGAGACATGTCACATGACCAATAGATGTAAATCACTTTTAGTAAATACTATTTTAATGTTGAACTTTTTATATTTTAATAATTAATAAAGTTGAAATTTCATCTTTTTTATTTAAAATATATATATATATATTTTTTCATATTTTGCATTTTTAGTAATTTTAAAATACATAATTTTTAATTTGTATTACACGAACCTATAGGCTCTATTCTACATCTATAGTTTTAGATTAATTTAAAATCTATAAATAGAAAAGATAAAATTAAGCAACAGCAGTAAATTAAAAATTTAGAGATTAAAGATTAAAAAGTATAAAGAATATAATGCAAAAATAGATTGTAATAATAATTGTATAACTTTAATATAACATATTATTTTATTTTTAATAAAATTATTCTTTTATTTTTTTCTAATAATTTATGTAATCTATTTATATGTAATATCAAAATAGTTTATTAAATCCTTATATTTAAATAAATCATCATATGATTTAACTTAAAATTTTTTAATAAATTTATTATCTTTGAAAATAAATAACAGTAGTAATTAGTGATATCTGACTAAATTCTTTTTTGAAAAATTGTAATTTTGTTAAAAGTTTCGTCTCTTTAATATTTTTATATGAATAAATATAAAATTATTATATTTTTAATGTATTTTAATTCAAGGAATTTAGATCAAGTTAAATATAATTTTAGCAATTAAGTAAAATAATTTTGTCATTAATAAAAACTAGTTTTGTCATTTCGATTTCATCAATTTCATCATATTAAAAAAGGTAATAGTAATAAAGATATATCATTAATTATATTGAAGCTTATAACATAATAAATTCAATCTTTTATCTAAATAAATATTTATTTTTTTGACAATAATATTTTATTAATTAAATTAGATTTAAATTATATAATTTATAATAAATTTTAAATAATAATATCATAATAATATTATTTCATTAATAAAATTTAAATATTATAAAACAAATTTATATTTTATATTTATTATAATTGAAATATTTTTAAAATAAAAAAATTGTTATATTCTTATTACAACTTTTTAAATTTTTAATCATATGATATATTATTTTTAAATTTTTTTTTTTTTGAATTATTAATAAATATTATTTTTAAAATTATATTTAATTTATCAACTTATACAATTTTAAAATTAAATAATAAATTTATAATAAAAAATAAACAATATAAATAAAATAATTTTATATTTTGATTATTATAGATTTATTATAAATTAATAAATATATATATTTAAAAAAATTAAAAGAAGTTGATTTACAATAGTTTATTTTTTATTTATTATTAAACAAATGAATTTATTAATTGGGAGGTTTGCTAGGAAAATGGGGTTCTGAGAATTTTTTATTAAAATTTTAATTTTTATTGCATTTTAATTTTTATTGCATTTTAATTTTTGATAATGTTAGATTAAAATGCAATAAAAATTAAAATTTTAATAAAAAATGCTCAGAACCCTATTTTCCTAGCAAACCTCCCAATTATTTAATTTTAAATCTAAATTATATACTATATATAATACTTTTTATAAATTAATATTTTAATAATTAAACTTATAAAATATTATAAAATTATGTTTCAAGAAAAATTTAAGTTTCTCTAAAAAATTATATATATAAAAAAAAGGTTAATAAATATTTTCAAATAATATTAAAATTATTTAAATTAATAAAATATAATTATTTATATTATTTTTGTTATTTAAATATTATTACATATAAATAAAGATACCTTTCTAAATTATTTTAAATTTTAAGTTTAAAATATTTGAGATTAAATTATAAATATCTTATCTTAAACTTTTAATGGATTTTTCTAATCTTAATTAAATTTAATCAAATTGCAGATTTAAAAAAGTCATTATAAAGATTTTTAAAAAGATTCTAAATTTTTTTAGCTATAAGTTAAAATAGATTTTAAACAGTATTATTATATATAAATATTTGTTAATATAAATTTTTTTTATATCTTACAAGATTAATACAATATATATATACTATTTTATAAATATAATTTTTATAATTTAATATTATGCTAAATATAAATAAAGATATATATATATTTTATATGTAATTTAAAGTTGATTTAATTATAAAAATTTAGATTATTTAATCAAATTTTAAATTATAAAATTATAAAATTTTAACAATTCTTATACCTATTTTATTTTATAATAAAATTCTTAAAATAAATGATAATAAAAAATAAATTAAATTTTTATTAAATAATTTCAAATTAAATAAGATTTATTAAATATTCAAATCAATTAAACCAAATTTGAGTTTTTTTTTTGTTATATAATATTTTTAAATATTAAAAAAGTATTTGAATTTCTTATTTTAAGTTTATCTTAAAATTCTTGCTAATTATACAGTTAAACTTGTATATAAAAATCTTATTATAATCACGTTTATATAAAACTAGTTATGAGTAACTAATACCTCTATATCACAATATAATAAAAACCTTTTTAATAAGTTCATTTTTTTAAAAATTACTCTTTGAACACAAGTGATGATTATAGACAAGTCTGCTTAAATATTATAATTTAAGATTGTATTTTATTATTAAATTCATATAGATTTAATATTACTTTAATTAAATTATCTATATATATTATTTTACCATTGATCCAACTTTTATTATTTAGAAAATATATTTATTTAGCATCACTATATTTACGAGTAAAAATATCTACAACATGATCGGCCGCAGTTCCACTTGTCATTTCACCATTAAATACCTTTTGTTCTAATTGATCAACAAGTTCACAAATTTCTTTATCAGAATTTAATCTGAAAATTTGATTACATTAGTATTTGCAACAAATATCTTTAATAATGAATGATTACTCAGCTTTAAGTAAATACCTGTCTAATAGTTCTGACGATATTTGTCTCCACATCCATAATCTCCTTTGTTCCCCTCTTTTTTTAGATAGCTCACCCGAGCGCTAATTACAATAAACATAAAATTTAAGTAAAGTTTATTTAAATTATAGAATCTCCACATATTATGAATTACCTTCATAACATGATAATACTCTTGCATGAGTTTCCATGCATTATCCATCCCACTGTTTGCTTTAGCTGATACTCTTAAAACCTACATAAGAATCAAATCCAACATTAATTTACCTTATAGATGTATCGTTAGAATATTTGTTTTCTTTCTGTTACCTGAGGATTCCAAACAGATGTGCTTGGATGAAGATATTTCAAAGCACTTGTATATTCAGCCGCAGCCTCTCTAGCAGCATTGGCGAATTCGCCATCCGCTTTGTTGACAATTATTAGATCAGAAATTTCAACGATACCTTTTTTCAAGCCCTATGAAAAAAAGTTATGCTATAACATTTTTAAATAAAAACAAATGAAAAAAATTCTTTACCTGTATCTCATCCCCTCCTGCTGGTGGGACCATCAAAACAAACCTAGAGTACGATTGAATAATTTGATCAATTTCACAATTGAAGATATTTTCCATAAAATAAATGACTTACATATCAACCATTTCTGCAACTATTGTTTCTGATTGTCCAACTCCAATTGTCTCTATAAGACATATATCATACTCAGCGGCTGTTATTTTCAAAAAAAAATTCTTTAGAATTTTGGGTTTAGAAATTCCACGACATTTCTTTATACTACCTTCACATAAGATCATAGCTTCATTCGTGTTACGAGCTACCTATAGTAAAATAGGTATATAAAACCATTTCCACTTTTTTTATTTGATTTTAACTGTTAAAAATATCTCAAGAACTTACGCCACCTGTAAAATTTAATGAGCACCATTAAAGTAAATCATAAGAAAAATTTTTATTGTAATATTAAAAGATTCCAATAAACATACCAAGTGTACCATGACTTGCTGAAGGACGAATATAAGCATCATCATGATACGATAATTCAGGCATTCTCGTCTTATCTCCCAAAATTGATCCACCGGTTTTCGATGAAGATGGATCAATAGCCTTTAATCATATCCAAATAAATAATATTATCCTCAATTAAACAATTTCTCCATGCTTTATAAAATACCGTAACATACAAGAACGGCCACACGATGTCCTTGAGAAAGAATATACATTCCAAATCGTTCAATAAAAGTTGATTTCCCAACGCCCGGTGGACCAGATAGGCCTATTCTGAATGTTGGTGCGGAATCCCCAATTTCTTTGGCACGCTCATGTTGTGCATCCATAATTAAAGAAAGTAATTGTTGAGCTTCAACTTTATGATCTTTACGTGTTGATTCAACTATATACGAAAAAATGTAGGCACTTTTCTTAATAAATCAAACGATATGAAGTTTTTAAAATATTAATTTACTAAACCTAATGTGATTGCTTTCGCCAAATAATATCGATCTTTCATTTTTATTCTTTTGTATAGTTCAAGAACTTTGGAAGAGGGACAATGTGTAGAAAAGTTTTGCGCATTAAAAAGCCCTTTGATAAAAAATGGACGTGAAGTTTGATTGCAATTCGCTTTTATCGAGTTTTTAATTGACGTAGATACATACTATCGCAAAATATAAATGAAATGTTAAAAGCAGTTTACGCAATAAATTCTAAAATTTGGCACTTACTCTGGTTGTTATCCGCAATATCATGGTGATTCGTACAATTCAAATATAGATAATTTTAATTTTTATATAAGTTAATAAAGATCATATATATATGTAGATTTTTTTGTGTAATAGAATTCACTTTTCGCTCAATTTATTAAAAAAAAAAATTAAAAAAAATTAAAAAAAATCATTATTAAAATATTTAAATTATTTATATGAAATCCCTCCGTTAATCATTTCCTTATCCAATATCGATATACTGTACAAATATAACAACCTAAATTATTACATTCTTCATTCATTTAATTAATTTTTTTTTTTTTACGATAAAGAATTCCTTACATGTTTAAGTTTAATATTTAAACATTTTGACTTTCGAAAATAACAAGGTAACTCTTTATCACTTTTTTTTTCACACTTTTCGTAATGTATAATAAATTCTTAATTCGATTTATTATTTTGTATGTAAGGATACAATTAATTATCGAAAAAATGAACATATCAATCTTATTTGTGACGATCCTTGTCGTTACTATTACAGGAGTTATAGGTTCTGAAGTAATACCTTTAGATACCAATAATTTTGAAAGTTCTATAAAGGAAGAAACTTGGTAAGTTTAATTAAATTTTACCGTTAAAGCTCACAAAAACTAATCTCGGTTTGATCTTAGGTTTATAAAATTTTTTGCGCCATGGTGCCCTCATTGTAAGGATCTTGGTAAGTCTTCATTAGAGCTATTTTTTATTTTTTTGCTTTTCTATTTAAAATCAAAATGAAAACTAAAAAATTGTTTACATAAGCCCCAACATGGACACAAGTAGCAGCTGACAATGTAGATTATATTAAACCAAAGAAATTTCATATGGCTGAAGTTGATTGCACGCTATATGGAGGTAGGAAAATATAAGTTTGAACTTTTTTTTAATCCTTTCTAATTAAATATCTAAATAAATTCAGATATTTGTGAGAAATATGATGTACATTCTTATCCTAAAATGTTATTGTAAGTTTTCCTTTATAATCATAATCATTATTTATTTATTTATTATTATATTTTTTAAAACATTTTATGTTGTTTAACAGATTCAGCAAAGGGGAAAAAGTTGGATCATATGATGATGATTATAAAAGAGACTATGATTCATTAACCAAATATGTAAAATCCAAAGCAGATGAATATGATATTTCTTCTGCAGTTAATAATAATGATTCCGAAGAAGAATCAGCTAAATTCAATCCATTTGGAACTGTTGTATTATTAACTGCTAAAAATTTTGATCAATTAACAAGTTCTGGAATTTGGTTTGTAAAATTTTTTGCTCCTTGGTGTGGACATTGTCAAAAATTGGCACCTATTTGGGAGGAGTTGGGACATGAATTACAATATAAAGTTAATGTTGGTAAAGTTGATTGTACCGTTGATTCTGGTAAGCAAAAAAGTATTTATATATAATATTTATTTATCCAAAGGGAAACCAATTTATTTTTTCGTTTCATTTAGGTCTTTGTGGTAGATTTAAAGTTCAAGGCTATCCAACTTTGAAATTGTATCCTTCAATTTTTATATATCCTCTTAACTTTTCTTGTATTATTTTTGATATATTATACCAAAAACTTACGTAGATTGCAAAATCCCGATGATATAATCGAATATAAGGGTCCTAGACAATTAAATAGCCTAAGAGATTTTGCCGAAAAAGCTTCTCGTGCTCATGTATTAGAAATTAGTAAAAAAGACCTTGATAGAATCCGGAAACTGGATGACGTTCTTTTTATTTATCTTTATGACGACAAGACACCTCATAACATTCTTGTAATTATCAAGTTTTTATCGTTGAATAAGCAATTCTTTATTAAAATAAGCTGACGACTTTTCTTTTAATCAATTTAGAAAAATATTAGGGGATTATCTCGATCATTCTTCTCAGTGAAATTCTATTCTTCTAGAGATTCCAATCTTACCGCACAATTAAAAGTAGATAAACTTCCAGCTTTGATAGTACTTAAGGATGAATTTCAAAAGAGCTATCCTTATACTTCCATAGAATTATTTACAAAACGTGAAAATCTTAAAGGATGGATACAATCAGAAAAATATCCTTTAGTACCAGCAATGGATTCAGAGAATTATGAGGATATTTTAGGAGGCGATAGATTGGTTGTATTAGGAGTTTTAGACCCATCAGAAGGGACGAAATATATTAAGGCAAAAAAGAATTTAAAAAATACTGCTAAATTATATTATCAACAGATTAAGGAAGAAGGTGGAAGTGAGGATGGAAGAAGGGTAATATTCGCTTGGTTAGATGGAACCAGATGGAAAGATTATATTTACGGAGTTTATGGACTACAGAAGTCGGACTTACCTACCGTCTTAATTGCTGATCCCGTGGTAAGATTGATAACCTTTGTATTTTTTTTTGGAAAATCATGACGAATCCACTAATTGTAAAAACAATTTTTTTTATATAGTCAAATGAATATTTCGATACTACAAGATTGGGGGACAAACTTACTTTATCGAATCAAGGACAACTCTTAGAATCTATTCATAATGCCAAGAAAGGTTATTTGGTTGGAAAAAGTACTTTGGGATTTGTGGAAAAGATATTTAGGGTAAATTTTGAATGTTTTTATTTTTTTTTTTTTTTTACTATTTTTAACAAATAAAATTATAAATTTAATTAAATTGTTATTAGGATATATTTTCATTTGGAGTATATATACAGGTAATTTACTAAACAATATCATTTATTTACAAATACAATCACTAACTTTTTGTTGTCTTTATAGCAATCCATTTTTGGTCATCCGTTTACTTCTTTAACTGTTCTTGTTTTAATAATTGGAAGTATTTATAGATATTGCATAGTTCTTAAAACAAGAAATGTAAGAGATTATGAGCGTGGTAAATTTGAATAAAAAAATTACGACCATATGCATAAAAATTATAAAGGTCCAAAGTTTTAGATAATGAGCTTTTATATTATTTATTTTTAAATATAGAGATAGATTTTGCTTTTTTTTTTTTTTTTTGCTGATTTTACAAATTATGTCTTTAAAAATCTGCTTTTTGTTTTTTAAATACAGTATATTGATATTGTGTTTTTCATGTAAAAAGTAGATGCAATTTTGGTAATTTTATATAAAGATCTTTTGATAAAATGCAAAATCAAATACATGCTTTTCTCCTTATTTTTCGCACGTTGAAATTTAGGATAAAAAATTATTAAAATTACTCAAAGAGACTCATTGATCATGAAATATATATTTTTTCACAGGAACGAGAAAAGAAATACCTACTTTGTTGGTTTTCATTCACATTAATGAAAAGAAAACATGTGAATCAAGGAATCAAGATTTGCGTCTTTCCGTAGAGTAATTCTTATTCAAAATTATGAAAACTTTCTAGAGAGCAATGCTTATACACTGAATTTCTAATGAATTAACAGCATTATTGTACAGTCAATCATTCATGTACGATAAACAAAAAAAAATCAGTTGATAAGTCTGTGTAAAATTTAGTGTTCGATGAATTCGATGAATATTGTATAACATTATCTTGAAGTTATCAATAAAAAAAAATATTGCCAACATTAAATATTTACAAATATAAAAAGTCAAAGAACACTAGCTAAAAAAAAAAGAACGGAACTGATATATTATATATATAGATTTGACGAATCTTAATACATCAAAAAATTTTCACTTTCGAGCTTTAATTGATTTAAATAAAGTATCACAATTTAATTTATTTTTCAATAGAACCTTTTCATTGGTTATTCCAAATAACCATTAAATAAATAAAACTATACTGTTTATAGCTAAAAATATTTTTGGAATAATGGAATAAAAATAAATTTTTTACACAGTTGAACATGAAAGCATGCATGACTTGATAAATAATAACAACACAGTTTGGGTAATAAAATACATAAAATATGTATTCAAAAATTTAACAAAAGATTTTTTTTCAAAAAGTTTCAGGGATTAAAAATTCTTTCCTGGATTTAATTGATACTTGTACTTCAATGTGTCACCAAAACGACCCCTTATTTTTCGTAAATATAATTATTCGTAATTTGTCCTTATAATGGATCTTGGCTTACGGTAAATAATGCTCGTACCGAATAGATCGATCTTGAATCGGAATTCTATTGCTTGGTTAAAGGTAACTTTGAGATGCAAAAATATATTTTTATGCAATCAAAATTATGTACTGCATATCACAAAGAATAATATGCATGTTATATAAATTTACTGGATACAATTTTTTTAAAAAAAAAAAAAAAATAAAAAAAAAATTGTCTTCAACTCACGCGTTCAAACATCAAAGATTTAGATGGGGATAATAAATTATTGAAATGATATTTAATTATTGGGTCCAAAAACACCAACAATCAGTGGTACATCTTGGAAACTTAACGTAATTTGATCTAACCGCCATTGATATATGCATGTCATATGTAAAAATTAAAAATTGGATGGCTTATTCGAAAACTTTAAAATCCATAATTATTTGTGCCATCAAATAAAAAACTCGTCGTACCCATCCCATCCATCTCTAGAAATTAAGAATTTTGGAACATCATACAAAATCCTCCTAAAAATATATATTACATAAAAAGTCGCTATCATACGTACCTTTTTGTAAATAACAGCCAGCAAACCTTTAAAATTATTATTTTTTTCATATGTTAAAAGAGGCGACTTGAAAATATGAATTCACAACAATGATGCGATGGAACGATCATCAATACCCATGAGAATGAAAATCCTTGTTTACCAATCAAATCATTGAATAAAAATCAATGGGATACTTTGGTCACTGTAATTCAAAAAAAAAAACCTAAAATTATTTCTTTGTATTACTTGCAGTATGTTTGTTTCACGATTCTTAGCTCAGCGGTCCAGGCACGGTCTTTTTGTCTTTCTAATATGATTTTGTTTTATTAAAAAAAAAAACATTGACAGAATTCTGGATATATTGGAAATATTTTTACACTGCCTCAATAAAAGTCGGAATTCGTTTTATTTTGATGTAGCACATTTTCCTATTTTTTTCGTTTTCAAAACAGTAAATATAGTCTATATGAAAACTTAAAAACTATTTTTTTCTTTTTTAAAAACTTACTTGAATTCTGTATCACAGATAAAAGGATTTTTTTTTTATTTTTTATTTTTATTTACCAACAACTACTTCAATAATGGGTAATAAAAATACTCGATTAAAAGGATTTATAAAAAAATTAATGAATAAATCAAATAAATCACCTATTGCTTCTACAACCGATACAACCGAAGAAAGTACCACGATTAATGATGATGGTTCAAATCGAATAAAATATAATGTACCTATTAAAAATGATGGTTCGACACATTGTCGGAGTCCCCACGGTATCTTAAAATATTTGTGGCAAAGTAATTTTTCCGCTCCTGTTGAAGATATTTTATTATCGACTGGAGTAATATTAGATGCTGGGTAGGTTTCAAATGTCTAGTCACTCTAATATATATATATATATTTTAATGTTCTTTTTTTTAAAAAATGAAATAGATGTGGATTCGGTGCATGGTTAGAAGACATGTCTGTAGAATATCATAAACCCGACTTTGTGGGTGTAGGATTATTACCACAACACTTCCCGACTCAAATATCAAAAAATGTTAAATTCATTCAGGCCGATATATTAAATGGTCTTCCGCTTGAAGACAATCTCTTCGATTTCGTTCGTTTAAGCTATTTTGCGGCAACTTTCGCTCATCACGAATGGGAGGTTGCAATAAAAGAACTAATTCGGTAAATATCTTTCAAAGAAGTATTATCAAACCATTCCGAAATAATTTAAGATTCTTAAAAAAACAGTGTTACTAAACCCGGTGGTTGGCTTGAATTCGTTGAACCTGATTTGGATCCGACATCTACAGGACCTATTGGTACCAGAATCATGGAGGCTTGTAAGTTGATTTACAAATTTGAAAAGGTCTTCCACAAGGATTATAACCATTTTTATTTATATTTATTTTATTTTATTTTTTTTAAAAAAAAGTCTACCAAATTGTAGGGGATAGGTTGAATATAACGGACATATTGGAATTAAAATTAAATGCATCAAAACAGTTAACAGATATTCAACATGATTCAAGGTCATTAACAATAGGAACGTTGGGCGGGGAAGCGGGAATTTCTCACGGAAAGAATATTAGGGAATACCTTGAAGTAAATTCTCAACGATTTTATATGCATTTGGGAATTTCTCCCGAAGAATATTCCAAATTGATAGATGATTTATTTGAAGAATTACAATCTCGTGAAGTTAAAATGAGATTTTTTCGATTTTGGGCTCAAAAAAATTAAAAAAAATTAAAAAAAAAAATTAAAGAATTATCAATCCAATCCAATGTAAAAAAGAAAGGATTTCAGCGATTCAAGCTTTTTTTTTTTTTTTTTTTTAAAAAAAAAAATATCATTAATAAAAGAATCTTTCATTCAACTTATTAAAGCAAGGAAACAAACATCAAATTTATGCATGCATGAGAGAAAATTTCTTTTTTACGGGAAAGAAAAAAAAATATATTGTCGCAAAATGTCAGTTGACTTGAATTTTCGATTATAAAGATCGAATGAAAATCATTTGACTTTATGATTGGTACTAAACATTCGTAAAAGCGATCCAATCGGAATTTTTTTTGATTTTGGTTTCCTATGCTATCGTTGTGTGATGAAATTCGTATCACGGGTAGTAACTTTGACTGTATATATAAAACAATGCGACTATTCAAATCAAAAGAAAAAAAAATTATTTTATTATGTAATTTGAAAATTATTTATGTTGATTAATTCAATCATTACAAGTAAAGTTAGAATACAAGCAAATTTTCAATGTGAGCAAATTAAATTGATTATAATTGGAAAGCAAATAGGGGAAAAAAAAGGGTGAGGCAGAATCATATTCTAACGTGAATGATTATAATCGGATTGACGTGCACCCCTGCCAGAAATTGCACTTTGTTTGGAAAATTCCATAAAATTCCCTCTTCTAATTAGACCAAATTTTGACAAAGTTGCGTTAACGGTTTGAATTCCTCCCCAAGTAAATACTGCAAAGCAAGCCACCATAAAAGCAACAATTGTAAGAAAAGAGGCGGTGGGAAGAAACACGAATAATCCACAAGTTGTCAGAAATCCTTGAGACAAAATAACCCCAGTTCCCGCTATAGCAGATACGAAACCGAATGATAGAACCATCCATCCGACAAAAACTATTGCTGGAGGAAGTATAAATACTACAAAAGTATAGGCAAGCCAACGTAAAGGAGGGAAATTAATCCAATAATATTTGGTCATTTGATATGCTCGATCACCGGCTTGTTGACCATGGCGATACAATTGATCATATATTCCGTGAGATGTCTGAATCGCTCGAGATGCTTTTTCGTAAGTTAAAGAAGAAATATCTTTTACAAATGACACTGTAGATGTTAATCTCCCTTCAGACATTTTTTATATGTTGGCGAAATAAATTTATTATTTTTTTTTTTTATATGTGGATTGTCAAAGTTCGTATTTTGTTGAACAAAAAGTTTTTTTTTTTTTTTTTTTTTTTTTTTTTTTTTTTATAATTTACATTTTTAAATTTTTTTATTTAAATTATTTAATTTTGGTAAAAAAAACTTTAAAAACAGAAAAAAAATAAATTTTGGCAAAAAAAAAATTTTTAAATT